CATTAGGTTATATTTATTTTATTTTTTTACAAAAGAAATTGAAAATCCACGAATTTAAGAAACCCACGAAAATGCCCATTTTGATAAAACCACAAAATTTCATGTCCATGAATATAACTTAATATAAGTGAATTCGCAGAAGTACATTTGAGATGTTTCAGCTATCATATTCAAAATGACAAAATTAAAGACACTAATAGCAAAGATAAGCAAATAACAAGCAAAATTTAGACATTTGTCCTTGAAGGTCAAGGTCATTTATGAATGAAGGTCAAGGTTAATTTGGTCTACTTGAAGGATTGTCATTTGATCATGCAACGCTTTAATAAATTCTTTACATACTTTTCTTTTTGCCTATAATTATGGAAAAATTAAGCATATACCTTTAATTCTTTTCCCATTTTTCATTTCCAGAACAAATGTTTACTTACTGAGAGTGGATGCAGTTTCTCGTCAAATATCTCCAGTGTCCTCACGTTAAATTTACTCTCGCGATTCTTTATATGAAAGTAGACGGCTAATGTCACAGCCTTGATTGTATTTTTCAGATTTGGTTGACTGACCGTCGAATCGTCTATATATATAGTCGAACAAGAGCTGTACTTTTTCAGCTTGCCATATGGGCACCCATTTATCTGCGACTAAAATTAAGAAAATAATTGTATGTTATCAAGTTATATATATAAAAATATTCAGATTTTTAGGAAGCAGAACACAGCTATACAATACCTTTCATTCATAAAAATTGAGGTTCAATGAGGTTCAACTTTATTCATTTTACTGTAACAACAATTACTAATTTCATTCCCCCAAAACTGACAAAAATGGCCATTTTTTACAGAAGTCACATCAAACCTCAGTGTTCAATCTAGAACAAATTCCAAGGGGGCTCTTTGGGCCCATAAACTTTTAAAAAGGGGGTCATTTGAGAAAAAAGGGGGCCCACACTTAAAATGAACATCAAATTCAAATAAGGTATTGTATCTTTTAAGTTACTTGTTCACGTACCATATTTAGACCAAAAACGGTTGCAAAATTCCAAAACAACTCAACTAAAAAAATGACATAAGCATTGATACAGGCTCAATTTTAAGAACTGATTGGTAAAGAAACGCGATGACATAATGTTCAAAGAAAAATATGAATCTTATTTTTAATGTTACCAGGATATTTGATAATAATGTTCAGTTTTTTAATCAGCGCCCGATATATAAAGGAAAATCATATTTTGAAATTAGCTTTGTTTATGAAGAATATAAACTTACAATAGTCGCTAAAAACATTTACCCTTCTCAATATATCCAAGCGAAAAAACAAAGTGTCAACAGGTGCTAAGACAATGTATATTGACATATGTACCTTTGATCTTTTGTCAGGGCAGCAGTTCTTACGTCACGCTTAAGATGTCTGTATTGATTAATGATATGCACAATGTTTTAGCGCCGACCAGCCAAAGACCAAGCAAAGTTAATTTACTTATTGTCAGACACTCTCTAGCCAATCGTGTTTTGATTGCTTCCATCTTTAAGACTTTTTTAATTGGATGAAGGCGTGTTCGTAATAATTTATGCACACTTCTCTATAATTAACTCGCACTTTTCACAAATATATCTATATTTTTTTCCTTTGAAAGTTATTACATATTTATTTGTTTTGTCCGTGAAAAAACTATAACTACACGCACGTATTGGATTATCTGTCACGATTTGTTTTGCTTATAAAAACTGTGACTCAAAAGTGAGTAATTATAGTTACGGTACGAAGAACAAGTCTACATAGTATTTACAGACCCGGACCGAGAGAGTGTAGCGTCATAAAGGTTTTAAATGGGTTACCGAGTGCGGTAAACTATCTTACCAACATGCTCTTGTTTTTCAATACAAACTTCAGTTTTGAATTCAGTATTTATTAATATTATTCACAAGAAACTTCTTTTATGTACTTAATCAGGTTTAAGAAAGCATTCTAATGTCATTTAGGGCATTTTCTATGAGTGCGCCCACAGTTGATTTTGTTTTGCGCCGGCGGCCTTTTCAGGGGGTCAATGGCGCGCTCTAGATTGAACACTGAACCTTAAATATGGCAATAATCAATAAAAAATATTTTATTAAATTCTTTTGTAACATATTGACAGAACATTACTGCATAAAAATAATAAAGATTTAATTAACAAGTACTTTGTTTAACACTGATTTGAGCTAAAGCAACTTAACATGAGTGAGACTGAAAAAATGTGTTGGAGCACCACACTAAATACTGTATACACCAGACAAACACTTGAATGATTAAATGCTAAAATCTCACTTTTTCACCAGCCAAAACAAACTTTAAAACATCAAACTCACTTTTCACGCTGATATTTTATATGATAATGAATGAATAATGTCAGTGAAAAAAGTGATATTCTTCTACTTTGTGATCATGATTTCTGCAAGCATCTATAGGTCCTTCTCCAACACTGTAGTCAGTGTCACAAGTGGCATAAAATGATAAACAGATATAAATTTTGAGTGCACCATTGTAGAATAATAAAAGGTTCAGGTTCAATTCCACATTAATATAATTTGAGCTAAGGCAAGTTTACATACCAACACATGGACATGGTCATCATACTGACTTCTTCTTCTTTTCTTATTGTCTAAAAATAGTAACACATGTACATTAATTTTATTATCTAAATTAAGTCACCACAGCGTCAACTATCAGACCAATAGATTCCCAATGAAAAATATGCTTATTTTCCCCCAACTAATTAAATGGGGTCTCCACCATTTATTGCTTTTCTGAAATGACCAGAGTTGAGTCTGTTTAAAGCTTTTACTGAGTACATAAATATAAAGATACCTACTTACTTTTCACTTGGGACACAGTCAATGAATTTAAGATTTGGAATTTACCAGCCAGAATTCCAGTTTTGAATTTCTTCTACTATATATTTAACTAAATTTTATTATTTTCACTAGCCCGAACTAATTTTCACTGGCGATGGCCATACAGTCTTGTTTAATTAGAGCATTTTTTTCCCATATCTGTATCAAAATTTAATCTATGGGATATTATCAATAAGAAAACTTATAAATATTGAATTTATTGATGACTGCCCAGCCTCTAGTTTATAAAGCATTTATAATTATAATTTTTACATAATAAATATTTAATGTGAATAGCAGACAATTATTTGGTCAATGACCAATATTCAATAATTATACAGTCAGCACATTTTATTTTTTTAATTATTAACCGTCACTTACTTTTGTTAATCTCTATCTGTGACCGCCTGTAAAACATGGTCTTTTCTAAGGGATTGTTTGAAGGATCTCCTATGTTATCTGAAAAAAAGAATTATCACGAAAAGATTTCATTTATTCACCTGTACACACAGAATTACAGACAGCTGCAGTACAATGGCCAATCTATACAGAAAGTTTATGTCAACAGTTCAAAAATTTAACAAAAGAGTTATATTATAACAATACATATGTAACCCTATGGATTAATAAAGAAGAAAGAAAAAGTTCATTTATGAATTATAAACCCGGAATTATGATTTCACCTGATCATGTAGATTTATGCAATATTAATTACTGTTCTGTCACAGTTCAGTATTCAGTTTGGATTTTTTTTAAAGAGAACCAGCGCAAAACCTCTGTGACTGTGTTGTGGACACAAACAAACACCAAATACTGCTCTAAGAATAATATCATGCAATCTAAAGTGTGGTTCTACTTATATATGTAAAAATAAATTCATTTAGAGGGGCATCAGGCAGCACATTATGCCTGCTGCACAGTAAATGGGCCAATTTTTCAAAAATACATGTAATGCAGGCTTTTTCAAAAAATATATTGCATTTTCTATTATTTTTTTGTGTTTTTACAAAGGACTTATTGTAAAGCAAATGTGCCCAAAATTTTTTTGGGATAGCATTACCCAAAATAAAGATACAGACATTTTTATACCCTAAAAATGTCCATTTTTACATGTAATGTGTTAGCATCTGTTTTTTTGGTGTTTTCAGAATTAACACCACTATTATCTGTTTTAATTTATCACTTAAATTTTTTTACATGCACATAGAAAATTAAATAACCTTTCCAGTGATATATAAAACTTGGTATACATCATCCTGGTTTTTATCGTTAAGATGATTTTAGTAAAATCAGACTTTTGTAATGCATCAGTTTTTTCAAAATTCAGTTGTTAAGTAAACAAGTATACCTTTAAGCAGTTACAAATAAAATAGTACTTTATTGTCTCAATCTAATGAAATATGAATTAAAAACATATGTTAAGTGCTTTCAATTCAAATTTTCAAACATTTTTATCATAGTAGGCATTATAGTGGTAAAAAAAATTTTGTGATGAAAAAACCGTAACATCCGTCCCCCTCTCATAAAATATCCAATTTTAAATCAATACTCATAAAAAAAATGTTTCTGGTGCTAAATGATAGCCTTACAATGAAAATGTTACAAAAACTGCCAATTTCTATGTTTATGAAAAAAAAAATACAATAATGTAAAAGTTGTCTGTAACATCCGTCCCCGTAACATCCGTCCCCCTATATAAGGTGCTTATTAAATCTCGTATAAACTGTAACTGAAAAGGGAATTTTACACTAAAACACCAAAGTTACATTGAAAAATGAAGAAATAACAGAAATAAAGCACTGAAATGATGTATTTATGAAAAAAAAAATTAAAAAAAAACACTATAAATTCCTTAATTTTGAAAAAAAATCAGTATTTTTTGCTCTGAAATCAAAATTATTTAGGCCATTATTTTTTGATATTTCGGTTTACAGACCCGCCGACTCTGTATTTTGGGAAAATGAAAAAAAAAAAAAAAAATCTGCCCCCAAAAAAATTCTGTGTTGTCTTGAAATACGCTGCTAATAATACGACTTGTCAAAGAAATGTTGCGGTAAGTATTTTAATTAACTGTTAAACCTACCACATGCCAGACTATTTTACCTACGATTTATACACGCAACCGGTTATCTTTACTCGAGAATAGCCTGTCGTCTGCTAGTTGGGCAAAGTGTTTATTGGTGTATTATGAAAGAATGTCTGTTAAATGGGGTCAAGCCATTCTCACAGAATTATAATTAGGCTTTGATCATATTTCATCAATGCATTGAAGGTCGAAATGCGTAAAAATGTAAAACAACCGAACAACCAAAAAAAACAAAAAAAAAACACGCCAAATTACCTAAGTAATTACATTCAAGGACAGAGCGAGAGAAATCTACTGCAATTGACAAGTTCAGTATTTTCAGATTTAACAAAAAAAAATTAGTCTTTAAAAGCAGATTGAATACAGGTTTCAAACAAACAAAATAAAAAAAATGCCCGCACTTACTTTTAATAGATTTTTATGTCAAAAATTGACCAGCTAATTATCCGATAAAAATATTTTCACAATGGGCAAAATTGAACATGACTTTGTGTAATCTTTTTTTTTTAACATCTGATCTATAAAGAAATGAGTGCAAGTCAGCTGATTTTCGGCACCTTTGATGATTCAGATTACACAGCAGTGTGTAAACATCAAAGAATGACAGATTTTTTTGAAGAGCTCCCTTGCCACTTGTCATAAGTCATTGTGTGTAGATTTCATGTGTGTTTTTAAACAATGGCAATATGAGCAAAAGTTTTTTTTTTTGTGTATTTAAACAATCTTTGGAATAGACAATCGGCGATGTATTTAATTTCATTGCTCTAGTAAGTACTATGTATATGTATGCACACATTTATAGTTATGAAAACTTTTTTTTTTTTTTTTTTTTTTTTCCCGCCGCCGACCCTACCTTTTTTTGGAAAAAAATCAGTAAACCAAAATATAAAAAAAAAATGGCCTTACTTTGAAATAAAATTTATATGTTATTTTTTAACCTCAAGTGGACCAATGAGTTTATTAAGATAATATTTAAGCTTATATGAATTTATAACAAATATAATCTTTTGTCATTCTGTGTTACAAACTAAGAGTACAGAAGGGGACGGATGTTACAGAATTGAACTAAAAATTCTTTTTACAGTAATACAAAACTTATCTTGTTCTTATGATGCATGATAGAGAAGTAGTAAGCTTTGCAACTGTATAGGAATGTTTCACACAACAAATAAAATACAATTTAAAAAAATAATAGAAGAAACAAACAAAAAATCCATAACAGGATATATAGAAAAAGGTGCAAACGATAGAGATGTTGAAAGAATCTTTGTGATTAAAATTGGTCAATTGTTTAAACATAAATTCTTTAGCCTTAAATAATTAACAATCCATGTATCCCAGCCCCTCATAAAACAGTGGGATATGGATCCTAACTCTATACACACAGAAGGGACTGGCACTTTATTGGAAGTTAACGAGCTGTATATTGGGAGCTGTGTATATTGTATATTGGGAAGTGTGATATATTACAAAACAGTAGGGGTGCCAATTAAGGGTGATATATATTATGCTTAAAAACAGTGGGAGTACCATATCTTATTCAAGAATGTCTGTCATTAAGTATTAAAGTTGAAGATCAATTAAGTCAAAGGATTTATTGAACTTCAAAAATTTATAGGCTAAATATGTAGTCAATGAAAAATAAACAAAGAAATATAATTCAACACCCTGATTAAAATTTTTAGATTTTTTCCCCAAAAAAAATCTCAAGCACATTTCCATACAATTTGACCCATTTAATTATTGTTAATAAAGTGAAAGAAACTTGTATGTAAAGGATATGGTAAGGATTCCTGTAATGAAAAAGTTGGGATAGTTGTGAAAATTATTCTGTAAAAATTATTTTGCACCTATAAATTTTATTGAATGACAAATTAGTTTATTAAGTTAAGCAGTTCATGTACACTGAAATATTTACACAGAGAATTATTAAAAGTTAGAAATAATGAGATTATGATACTGAATCATAATGAAATCTTTGGATAATGCTGCTAACATTCCACATTAATTTACTTAAAATTTCATCAAATCAATAGAACTTAATTGCAACAATTTAAAATCTTATGATTTTTAATTAAAATTTTAATTGTGTATAATTTATGTATTTAGTAATGAGAAATTCAAGCTTGCATATGTTTCAATCTGAAAACTTCTTATTTACTTCACACTGTATCATATCTTTTACAAATATATATCTTATTATTTAACTTAAGTAATTTGTAAATAATTTTTATGTATAGAAAGGTACCGTTGGTATGACATTCTCTCTTTAACATGAATGCATTATCTGGAAACAAAGATTCTTTTATTTAATAAGCAATGTTTTTATTATATTCCAAACATTTCAATGTTCATTCAAATGTAAGATAAATGGAAGAAAACTAAGTCAATGCAACTTTTCATTGTGAAACACAAATAGTAAGAAACTACATAATTGTCAGGTATATTTCTACATTTTTCTCATAATTTGTTCAATTATTTTACATTTATTGTACTGTACAAAGCATATACTTTTATAAATTTCATTACTTTTAAATAAAACCAAAAAAAGTATTAACTAAGAGCTTTAAACATCGATTGTAACGTCCGTCCCCCCAAAAATGTAACATCCGTCCCCCTGATACAATTCATTTTTGGGTTATCTGACAAGAAATATACATAACAAAGTCCTATAATTTCTACTGTTTTATAAGAAATGTGTTTGCATATTTGATTTAAGTATGATTTGGTGTACCTATCCTTGTTTTTTTCTTTCTGTTTCTAACATGTTTGAAAATTTAATTTTGTGTGAAAAATACTGAAAATTTGAAAGCAAATATTTTTTATCCAAGATGAATTTTCTGGATTTTATTTGTAACATTTATCAGAACACATAATATTTTAATAAAATAAAGAGAAATAATACAATTTTTATTATAAACTGTAAGATATTCAGACTTTTAGTATATCTTTGTAACATCCGTCCCCTACCCGCACAGTCTGCAAGAGATGTAATATTTTGAAAAAAGTATTCAAAAAGTTATCCTTTCTTTCCAAAAATATTGTTATAGACACCTTAAGGTACTTAAAAAGAGCAAATATTGTCTTGTATGTTTAACTTTATTTTTTTACTTAGATGCTAACACAATTGGCCCATTTACTGTGCAGCAGGCAATTATTCTCATGCTGTCAAAATGCATATGGAAATTATACCTTCAGGTAGGTTTTCACGATCACTGATATGAGGCACCCCTGGTAAAGAGGAATAACTCTGCTGAATAGCTGCATGAGAAGACTCTTCTTGTTGACTAGAATGTCTAGCAGGTTGATACGACTCCTCCCTATTCTTCCTTTTAGAGCTTTTATAGCCGCAACAACTGTATTTATTACCCATATTTATATCTCAGTTTATCAAAGCTGACTTACAGCTATGAACTGCCGACAGTAAAGTTAGATGGCCTTCAATATTATGCCGGTAAATGCCACATTGTTTTTGCGCCCTTGTTTTTGTTCTAAACTAAAGCCTTCAACAGTTCAAAGTAAAATCACTCCTCCTTTGAATTTGATCTTATTATCCATACAAAAGCACCTTCAGTATTACAATATTTAAGTACAATAAACAACACACTTCCTTGAAGATGTTTAATTTCAGTTTGAAATTCAAGTCACATGTTTATGTCAAAAATGAGAACATGAAGGGAACAAAACTCAGGGCATAAATTATGTAATCGTAAACATTTGCTTCAGTATAATTCGAAATTCTTTTTTTGGGGGAAAAAACGATACAACAAGAAAATCCGCCGTAAGCTGGTAAGGATCCGCACAAAGGGTCAAGCTGTCAAAATTCTGAAAAGCCTCGATGTTTTGGTTTGAATACTTATTTAATTTCTATCCTGTTATGCTTGGAAGAATGATTCAACGACAATATCATGTATAATGTAAAGGATGCAGTCTAATATGATCTTGCGTATTTTTCTTGAGAAAAACCATCAAAATTTTGATTTTCGGCGAAAAAATAATAACCGGAAGGCTGACTTTTTAGACGGGGTTAATACATTGAACAATTCTGATTGGTTATAATTCCGGAAAACAAACCCAACGCAAATAAATACTGAGAAGTAATATTAAAGCACGCAAAGACTTTAATTTAGACGGATTTGATTGATAAGACTTTATAACCGCCATATGAACACATCTGCGGATGTTTCAAAATTCTAAATTTTACCAGTTCATGTTAAATGTCGAATTCTGTTTAAGCCGGCGCTAGGGGGCGTGGACGGCAGTTTGCACTTGACAGTACCGTCCATGAAGAGGCTCAATCAAACCGAGCCTGCAGTGCCGCGTTGGGCTTTCTTTAGGGATTCTTAATTCACTCTATTTTTACATGTCTTTAATTAAGCCTCGGATGTTTATAACAGAATTATACGGTTACACAAAGGTGACATGTGTGTGTTTTAATTTATCTCGTGCGCACGAGATACTATGTCGTGGCCACAAGATAGATAGATACTATGTCGTGGCCACGAGTTACTAAGTCGAGGCAATGAGATAGTTAAGTTGTGGGAACGAGATACTATGTCGTGGCCACGAGTTACTAAGTCGTGACCACGAGTTACATAGTCGTGGAAACGAAATAGTTAAGTCGTGGGAACGAGATACTATGTCGTGGCCACGAATTACATTGTCGTGGGCACGAGATAGTTAAGTCCTGGGAACGAGATACTATGTCGTGGCCACGAGTTACATTGTCGTGGGCACGAGATAGTTGTAGTGCTTACACAAATTAAAACTGCAGGAAAAGTCCAAGGGCTAATGTATTATTTTTTGTACTAAATTTAGTTGGATAGTATGTTATTGAAAGTTTTAGCCACCAAATGCCTGTACGGGATATGCTGTGTTGAGAATTTAGTCTTAGATGTGATGGATTTACTATAGGATATATAGTACGAAAATTCAGTGGGCCGTCTCCATTATGATTTTTTTAAAGATTTACATGCAGCATTTATCTTTGAAAATACTGAAGTGTTCACTCTTAACTTGATACATGTCTTTAGGATCATATTAGAAAGTCACCTTCTAAGGCCGATAAATCAGACATTAATTTTGACTATATTTTAGCTCGTTGTTGGGACAATTCTATGAGAGAATTGGTCAGTTTGTACGTACAATGGCCTGCTAACTTTGTTTATTCGATAACTTTAGAAGGAACTAGTCCTTGTTTATTTTATTTGGTAGGGACATTGCCCATGGACATTAAATAGCCAATAAGGATGTTTGAGGTCAAGGTAAACATTACACTTCATGTAAAATCCTTGTCTGATGAATGATTAAGAAGGAATAAGCCATAGGTTATTAACTTTATATAACCAAGAAAGATTTGTAGATGACACCTAACTATTTTGAGGCCATTGGGTCAAAAATCAGGTTCACAAGGACGCTTAATCATTGACCAATCAATAACTTGTATCAATGGCACTTTTACAGCCAGGTGAAGTAGGGGCATCCTTGTACTATAGCACATGTCTAGTTAATTAGGAAAATTCATATAAATAGTGTAATCTGATTGGTCATTTATCTCGTGCGCACGACTTAAATATCTCGTGGCCACGACTTAGTAACTCGTGGCCACGACATAGGATCTCGTGGCCACGACATAGTATCTCGTTCCCACGACTTAACTATCTCGTGGCCACGACTTAGTAACTTGTGGTCACGATATAATATCTCGTGCGCACGAGATAAATAAAAACACACACATGTCACCTTTGTGCCACCGTAAAATTAGGCATCTCTTGATATTTTTTTTAATGTAGATAATACAAAATTTATCATTCAAGATAAAGAAATATATATTTTCATTTTTTTCCCCAAATAATTGTGCATATTTTTATTATTTCCTTTTTTTTCTTTTCATTTTTTTACCATCACACTCCACATTTATTGAAGCCAACAAATCAACGCAATCCACACCCTTCACGCAGTCTAAACTCTTTCACCAAGCCTATATATTCATTCAGCATACAACTGTTACTCAGCCCAAGAATCATAAATTAACCTAATCTTCCTTCCACTTATTGTTACTACCGGTATCCCTTTTTCATTTCCTTTTCTATTGTCTTTTACTCAGCTAAACAAGCATTACTTCATATTAAGCCAAAACATCAACTCAGCCCACATCTTGCACTTTTTTTGGTCAGAAATAAAGCGTTTTATGACTGAAATAAAACCTTTCTAGATACAACGAAAATTTATGACAGAAATTAAACATTTTGTTATGACAGAAATCAAAAATCTTTAAAAGAAATCAAGCATTTTATGACCGAAGTGAACATTTTTATGACAGAAATCAAGAAATCCTTAAACTAAAATCAAGCATTTTTTGGACGGAAATAAAAAAAATCTGCAAAGGAATTTTTATGACATAGATTTTCTTAGCATTTCATTGACATAAATCAGGTAGTTACATTTTCTATAACGGAAATAAGACGTTTCTATCATTTCTTTAACGGAAGTCAGGCATTTCTATAACATATACATTTTATTTGACATTTGAAGGACAGAAATGCCGGTAACATAAATCTGGCAATTCTATGACGAAAGAATAAAAAAAAAAAAAAAAAAAAAAAAAAAATCAGACATTGTTGTATCTCTAGTTCTTAGGTCTAAAAATTAAACTGTTAAAAACGACTTTCAAAAATGCATATAAATATATAGTTCGCGAATAAGCACTGTACTCTAAAACTAAAATCTAATGGAATTACTGTTGGTGGATTTCACTCAAATTTAACATCCATGGTCTTGTTTTAAATATAAAAAAAGTATAGTATTGTATGCTTCATTTGGAGAATGTGAATATATTTTCATTTATTACGTCCACTTCAAGAAACAAGGTAAGAAATAATGAAATAATACCCTTATAAAAATGCTTACTTGTTTTCCACCCAGGAATGCCTAAACTCTTCTCCACCTACCCTATTCTGAAACCCTCTCCACCACCCTCCCCCTTTTGCCAAACCCTTTCCAAACCATTTCCCGTAAAAGACATCAAATTTCACAATAAAGACAAAAGAAAGACATACCCCCATAAAAACAACAACAATAACAAAACAAACTTGTTAGTTAACAAACAAACAATAACAACAGAACAGAAAAAAGCAACAAAAAAAAAGAAAAAAAAAGAAAAAAAAAACAACAACAAAAAACAAAAAAACAAAAAAACAAAAAGAAACGAAGAATGCTCTACTTAAACTACATTTTTTTGAGTTGTTTATATTTGAAAACTATGATTTTGGATAAGATTCAAGGTTATATAAACATATGATATGTCTAACATCTGTTCTGTTAAAACGTGTACTTTCATTAACTGCAGTTTCTGTTTTAACGATTTTCCCACGAAAGTGATGTAAAAAAGAAATAGAACAAGAAACTACGGAATCAAGTTAGTGTCACACTCGATTTCTCCTCGTGTAAGCGAAATTCGACATTCAACAAACGACTCGACGCACACCATCGCATTGTGACACACTGCAATGTGTAATGTCGTACAAGTTGTTGCTATATATTAGGTTTTTGAAACAACAACAACAACAACAACAACAACAACAACAACAACAACAACAACAACAACAACAACAAAAAACAACTAAACTTATGTATCGTTTATTATCAATATTATTGTTGTAAATGTTGGGAAACATTAAAAAATCGCCTGGCAAACAATTCAAATAACATCTATTTACGTTATGTAGCATTGCTATGTCGTAGGTCGAAAGTTGAAAGTTAAGGTTTATCATATATGACACGGTACGGATAGGAAGATTCGTCCCGAGGGATATTCCGATCTGAAAACATGCCGAATATCATATTTTGCATATTCTACCATATTTTCTCATGGTTTATTTCCATGAAATATTTATATCATAGAAATTTATATAATTTCAATCGTAGCTATTTTTTTACAATAACATATGAATCTACAACTTTATTCATAATGACGAAATGGCGTCAACCTGTGCACGCAGTTCAAATCTAAGATGCACCGAAAGGACGCCACACAGGTCATTCATAAAATGCGCTGTAATGACGTCATTTTAAGCACTCGATTCATCTGGCTCCCCCACGGAAGGGATACGATATGATGATAACGTTCCATGAAACATAAATATAATACTTATGACAATTCCACACTTATTATTCACCTGGAAGACGCTTAGTGTACATTACAACAATATCATCCTTGCAAATATGATGCTGATGCAATGAATGGAGATGAGAACCATTTTAGCACGCGCTTGATAATATTCACAATAAATTTAGAAACAGGATGTCTTTTTACTAAATCGGCACTATCGGCATTAAAACAGCACGCCTCCAGATTCGTGCTATATTTTCATAAAAAAAATTAAAATGTATTTAAAAGTAAAATATTGTGAATTGAACAAAGAAACTAATTTACGCATTAAAGACAACCATGTAAATGATAACCCATGTAAATTACCAAAAAAAAAAGGAGGTGAAAATATGCAAAAATAGCCCAAACTGCGTTAATAACGCAGAAGAAATAGGGTGGAAAATACTACAAAATCAGTAATTTATCGCACATAACATGGAACTTATTACTTTTATCTTGAACCTTTTTGCTTTTTTTAAGACTAAGTATATTTTTTTAAGTTTAATTATCTTGAAATATTTTGGCTCATATAGAGGCACGCAGCTTTAAAGCAACTTGCCCCCCCCCCCGGTTAATCCAAAAATATTTCAATAAGATCAAACTGTACAAAGATCTAAAAAAAGTATAAGATTCAAGATTCTAGTAACAATATGCATGTTTTGTGTGATTAAATAAATGACTTATTTTTAAGTATTTGTGTTAATAACGCAGTAAGGGCTATTTTTGCATATTTTGACCTTTTTTGGTAAATTACGATGGTTGCAAGTGCCACTGATAATGTGTAAATTGCTTCCTTTTGTTTACTTAACAATATTATTCTTTTAAATACATTTTTAAAATTTTCATGAAAATTTATATGAATCTAAAGGCGTACTGCTTTAAAATATGCATACATGCAATATCACGTATATATCTACTTACAATCTGTGTGTTGTTTGTTTTGTAACTGGCAAGATTTCTATGATAATTCCAAATAAAAATACGATGATTTATTGCATGACTCTGCCTGGAGCTTATATTGGCAATCATTTGTTTACAAGTTTATGCTCATCTAAAGCATTTATCTCAAATGGAAGCATCAATCATTGCCAAACTGATATGTAACTTACCGGAACACAGTATTCTCTTTTATCGTTATCGTAGAGGATTTTTTTCAGGCAATTAAACGTTAATTTTGTTGCGTTAGCCTGTTTTACCTTCTGCTTGAAAATGAAATAAGAAAGACATAAAACACCACTTTAACATTCAAAACACACGCATCAAGTTGATTTCGTATTTTGAGCGTATCTAAATGTTTATAATAATTGATGTTCAAAGACGTTTTAATCTAAACGTTTAATTATACATTTAAGATATTCTGAGAGAAATATTAATCTAACGCACAACATAATGGGGAATGCCGTGAAAATTTTCTGTCTTTTATCGTTATTTGTTTTAATGGTGGATACAAAAAGGAGAGACAGATTTGATATCATCGAAAAAAGAATTGGTATAATTGAAACACGATTAAATTCTGACAACGACTTAGCAAAGGAAATGATTTGGTCATTGCAACAAAATTTCGAGGAATTTAACAATTCTATGATCAATCTAAAGGATCAAATGTGTCACGAAACAGATCAACTGTCGTCGGTTAAAAAGGAACAAACTAATTCTGAAAAAAGTGTTGAAATTCTAAAGTCAAGCCGAGTATTAGCGTCGTTAGGACTTAATAGGGAAAAACAGTGGACAAGGGATCAAGTGAGAAACCTTACAACTCAGATGGGTGAACATTCCGATTTGTTAGACAGACAGTTTTTAGACCTTACAAATCAGATTCATTTACATACTGACGAGTTAATCAAGAATTACTCGAAGCTCAGAACTGACATGCTAGACAAAACTGAAAGAGAGAAACAATGGACAAGAGATCAAGTGAAAAAACTTACGAGTCAAGTAAATGAACAAACTAATCAGCTAACCAATAACTTCTCAAAACTCAGAACTGAATTAATAGCTTCGAAAGAGGAAATGGAATCCAAACTAAATGTTAGCAAAATAGAGATGTTGATTAGCGCCCAACTGAAGGAAATTGAAACTATAAAGAAAACCCAGACTGACATTGAAAATACTTTAATTTCTGCAAATATTGTGTCCTACACATGTCCATCAGATTGGACTAAATATTCATCGTATTGTTATTTGTATGTTGGTGGTCATAAAATGTTCAGTGAAGCACGTGCCCATTGTAAGCGTATAGGAGCGACCTTGTGTGACATTGAAAATGAAGCAGAGAATAGTTTTATCACAAGTTTAATTAAAACATGGACTTGGGTTGGTATTTCTGATGAGGAGGGAGAGGGTCATTGGATTTCAGAAAGAACGGGTCAACCTGCATCTTTCACGTACGTACATATGATAATCTTAACCTGTATTATAGCATAAATCCCTTCTTTTGCTCATGTTATAACGGGACCAAAACCGTGTATTAACACAGTCACGCGCTATTGTTATAGCCCGGTTTAACCTATGCGCAATACAAACAGAGCCCAGAAAAGAAACAAAAAAAAAGTTGACGATATAGCCTGTTTGCCAAATAGTCATGCGCTCTTGTTAAATAGAAATTATTGATTTGAATCATTGATCAATCGCATAATGTCGTGCAGCATTCAAGTTACTATGCCAGAAATACGGCGTATAGACCTCGCCGCTAATCTTTGGTGTCGCCCTTTCTTTCTAAAGAACGGATAGTTGTCAATGTAAACAAATATCTGTCATTCTGTTTAACCTTCCAATTAACTTACAAAACAAGATAACACAAAATGAATATGAGAAAATGTTTTGTATTGATGTTTACATAAATGCGCTTTATATTTCTTTGAGAGAATAATGTTTAGTGCATGATTTTTTTATATAAACATACAATTCTGATGTCATTGATCTTTTTTTCTATCGTCAATCTGAACTCATATTTTCTCTTGGGTAGAGTAATTTAATGTTTTTTCTTGAGTTAATAAATCCCCAATGTTAAGCTTTGTTAAATTAATTAAAATTCGAAATTCCGTTCGGTTCTTAGCATTTGTATTTCCCAAGTTGTTGGCCACAAAATATAAAACGCAAACGTAAAACATGTAGAATTGGTTAATTAAATATCGTCCAAGCACAAGGATTTAATGTATGTGTTTTGTATTAAATATACATCATGAATCGGTTTTAAAATTTTATGCTATAATAGTGTCAACTCACGTTTAATTCGTGTTATAAAGTCTGCAGAGTCCCTCGGAACTGTAGGAGCCCAAGCCCGGCACCAAACGTTCCTCGGGACTCTGAAGACGTTATAACACGGAAAAACAAGCGTTAACTCTATATTTAAATAATTAAGAATATCTGTAATAATTTGTATTAACTTTGGTAGTAAAATAACATCCAAAGAAACTAGTGGTGATGTGTTCCCTTCTTTAAGACAACGACAAATTAAGACATTTAATAACCTTCCGTTTTGGTCATGTGAAAACCTCAGAAAAATGAAAATACTCTATACAAAACTGCAGGTGAACAATCTGCTGCACCAGTTACTTTCATTTTGGATTTGAAATTTGACATATCGTAAAAAGGTACGTAATAGTTTCATATGATGATTGGATTGAACAGTTACTACAAATAATTATTTAATTTTATCATATTTAGATGCGCACTCATAAGATATTCATTCATTTTGAATAAACTGCCGTTCAGTCGGGTAATTTTCACAAAATACCCAGCGGTCACGTCTCTGTAGACTTACACTTGACTTCGAAATTACATATCTTCTTATAACTTGACATCATTGTAATGGCAGCTTCATTTCCTTAAAGAGTAAACAATGCTTTACCATTTGTTACCAAGATTTTGAAATTTGGTGAAAAATGTTAGTGTTATGGAGTTCAAATTAAGATAAGTGCTGGAGAATGAGCGTGAACATGTCATGTAGCACTGGATTGTTCTATCTGTTTGAAAGGGGAGTAGTGTGAAGAGTGTTAGAATAGTTTATCAAACTTAGAATACTTATATACAGACATCGCTTAATTTAATTTGATTCCAAAATCAATTTTTGAAAAGTCATTCCATTTATCAGATGGGTTTCACAAAATGATTCAGACAATCCGCCACTTAAGTTACTAAAATACGCATTTATTCATTAATGGAATGGCTTGTCACGAAAAAAATGCCATTTCTTTAGGTCAAAGCATAAAAGTATATAGCTTCAAAGTTGTGAATACATGTACCAATATAAGCTTATTGATAACAAACATGCTAGTTATGTCAATGCAGTGCTTAAGCATTTGTTAAAGAAGAAATCATTTTCATAAATAATGATTATCTAAATATTCATTTTCAGAAACTTTGGAAATTATAGCAGAGCTTATCTCGACAATTGTGCTGGGATAAACAAATATTATCTAAACGACAATTGGCGTTTCTCTCCATGTTCGTACGTAATGAAATTCATTTGTAAAAAAGATGTCACGAAAGTTATCAAGTCTGGTTGATTCAAGGTTTGTTTGTATCACTTTACAATTGTAATTTGTATGAATAAACAACTTGATCTTTACCTTTAGTTCTTGATAATGTTCAAACGTAAAACGTAAAATTTCAATCTTTATGGTATTTTAAAGAACATATTTTTCAGTATAACATTTCTAAACCTTTATAATTATTAAGCTTCACATTTTCATTACATACTTCATGCCAATGAATAGAAATCGCATGGACCAGTTGAAATATTTGCTAAAATATTGTGTTATTCTTGGACACAATCTAAAACTTAATTACATATATTTTTTCAGTGTTTATAAATCAGCGATATTAGTTGAACTGTAATATTTATTGTAGTTCAAAAAAGAAATTTAGAACTGAGAAATATGTTGTTGAGTAATATAGCACATATATAAATCACAAGATCACATTCAAAACGAAAATATGTCGGCTGAAACGTGGAATTGAAATATAATTTCTTGCATATCAGACACAATTATCTACTCTTTACACGGTGCTTAGAAAACCCGTCACACAACCCAAGAAAAAGAAAAAAGAATAAAACACCGGCTGTCGTCACGGACAGGAATATTTACTCTCAGATAACCCGACAGGGCCTCGTTAACGCCTTAAACTTGTTATAGAAATACAAATAAATTATTGAGCTTGAAAGTTTATTTTGAAAAAGTGAATGAACACTGTTATGCTGTACATAACAATATTTTTTAAGAAAATAAACAGAAGCATTGACTGAACGTATTGTGTTGAATTTCATCACATGTATTTTCAAACAATTTGCTTGGTTTAGTGTAAGATATTACAGTTTCTCTAGTCTATGTATGAGTAAAAAATTGTAAATTTAACATATGTGATATCGATGATCCTAAGCTTGTTTAATCATTTGAGTATAATTTGTTATTTTCCTCATATGTGTAGGTTATTCAACATCAAACTGTTCACTATTTGTACGTATATAATTGTACAGATGGAGACAGTATGTTATACCCGCCAAATGTGATGTGAATTACGTCTCAAGCTCTCAAGCTGTGGAAAGAATTCAAATACATCCACGTATTGTTAATAACCTGTTATTCAACGTCCGTACCAATTATATTGAGGACATGCCAAAGGTGATCAAATGTTTATGGTTCGTATTCGCAACACACTCAAAGCTCTTATTCATATAGATAATTTTGTTGGTAACGGCTTGTTATCATTGACCAAAAACTAAATGCGATCTTACATTTTTGGTTTTTGTACTGATTTTTTATTTGTCGATTGTAAGAAATTTGGATATTAAAAAAAGTTACATATCTATAATAACGAACTGTAAACAGGCCCGTATTAGGGATTTTACCAGAGGTTGTAGATATTTCGACAAGTAATAATGTATAGTAAGAGGGACTTTGGCATTTTCAAGAGTTCAAAAAGGGGTCATTTCTCAAGTGTTCTTGTGATTTTATTTCAAAACATGTTATTTGTTATGTTAATCGAAGATACTTCACATTAGAGGGATACCACGAGCAATCTTTTTGCACTATTGCGCAATATGTACTTATGGTCACATGAAGCCCTCCATTCTACAGCGAATATCAATATCTAATATATATATTTACCGAGAACCGTGACCCCAGCACTATATAACGGACATCATATTCATCATTGTGTTCCTCCTCCTCCTCATCATCATTGTCGTCGACCAAATCGAGTATGTTATTAACTTTCTCCATTTTGTTTTTTATTCCTCTTGTTGTAAAGTCGGGTTCCAGTGCGTAATAACATCATATATAATCTTTATGGATATATTTTCAAGAAATAAGTGTTTTAACTTTAGCTTGATTGATGTTTATTTTAAAACTTTATGAAATTGGATATTTATTGTTTTATGGACATTTCATTGTTATCATTCACTAATTTAATGTTAATTATAATTGAATTGAGTAACTTTGTAAAACATATTATTGACACATTCTCATACAGTCACTTAACACGGCCTTAGATTCTTTAAATATAGTTGTATACAATATATAGAGAATGGTTCTACTTTCACTTACACTGGTTTTTAGGCTTATGATTTAGTATTTACATATGTGTATAAATATGTTTAGTTTCTTTGTAGTATTTCCATTCTTTTAATTACTTTGTATGTAGAATTTTATAATTGTTATTATCTTTTGTAGAAAATGTAAATTTTGTTTCTCAAACTTTTCCATGAATCTTGATCTATTATAAGAATAGTTATGTAAAGAACTTATAAGCCTAATGCGTTTGTTAATTAAATTCTGATAAGCTATAATTGCAGACCAATCAGAGAAGTTGTTACATACATTGTCACCTGTATGTTGATGGTATTCCCCGCCTGGGATTCAGAAATTCATTTGTCAGACAGTTTTGAGATTCTGCTACAAATTATGGAAGAAGCAACATCTGTGAAAGCCCTGTAATGTTGATTAATCAATTAGTTATAAATTTATTTTAGGCACTATAAATGAACCTTAGAAATTGTATAGAAATTCACTGAAACATTTTTGATTAATTTGTAAGTAATTTTAGTCTTTTTCTTTTTCAAAATTAATTTAAATTAGTTACTATCTTTTCTTTGTTCTATGTAGCAGCAATTTTGAATGAGACTTTTTATTTTTGTTAGTATACTTTTTAAACGGGGTTTGCTACTACATGCAGTTATATTCACCAGTCTAATAGAACATAATTAAGGTTCTTTTTCATACATTGTTAGTTAATTAGACCTTATTACATGTTTGACACTTCTTTTCTCAACTGATTCTAATCTTTAATTCACCATTATTTCTAATGATAATATATTTTAGTTAAATAAATAAATAAATAAATAAATAAATAAATAAATAAATAAATAAATAAATAAATAAATAAACAGTTTATATTCAAGTACATATTATAAACCTGTTTAGCTTTAAATACCTATTAGTTAAGTGTAAATAAAAACTTTAATAAAACATTTGGTTGATTTCATTTTAGTTTTACTTTCCATTGCATGTCATCCTGAAGATTAGATGTCCCCTCAATTTTTAAGTCTTTTACACTCATCCTCAGCAAACTATTAAAAAACATTATGATAGCCAGTTAGGTAACTCTAAAATCCTATATTAGGAACACTTACATATTTTTTGTCTACACTACAACACTTCAAGTTCCTTGAGGGGTTCGAGCGCACATAGTTTAGGGACTAGAGGTTTGAAGTCAACTATGATGATTTAGGTGATGATTATATAATAAAAATAACTTAATACTTTTAGTATTGGGGATTAAATACTGCTTAAATCATTGCTACGGTTCATGACAGATGTTTCACTTTACATAGTCTCATATAAACAGACTTAAAAAAACAGTCTACAATATTTCCACCGGCTGTTCATTGTAAGAGCTCTCGACAGATTTCCCTTTTCCCGTTTTTTTTCTCTCACACCTTATCACGAGTAACAGTGATAGAAATGACACTGTACAAACGTATAGCATCAACAATGTTCAAGAGATGAATAGTAAAGAAAGTGGCGTTTTCGTAAACTTTAACAATAACAATGAACAATAAAAGTAAATACCTTGATAAGAGTCAAAACTTACATTTCTCAGTTAAGAACTTTTCTGAACACATTTGGCCGGCTTATCAGCACCCGGCTCATCTGCAAAATAAAAATAAGAAAAAGGGCTTTGATATATCTTGTTGATCTTTGTTTATAGCTTACAGTGATATATTTCTAGATAAGCTTTCGACAAAAAGAAAACACATTAAGAACACCTCGGTTTCATACCTCTCTTAAAATTGTGATTTTCAGATATTATTGTTTTAACATGCAAGTCCTACATTTATAGTAAAAGAGCATTACTAAACATTTTAGATCTATTTTTGAAATTCAAAAGCATAGTTTAACCCTACCTCCTTCAGATAAGTACTCCTCGTGGCCATTTTCAAGAATGTCATCTAAAAAAATCAAAACAAATATAAAATTCAGAATGATACTTTCCAGAACTTTGTATAATAGAATTATATGTTACGAAATAATTTGCCCGCCATTAAATAGTGAACTCTTTCCTATACATTAACTGTCTACAATTAAATATCAAGAGCTGCAGAAACATGTTAAATATTGACTATCACGTCATTGTTGTTCGTTTTTATTACATGTTTTTTTCAGTAGAACAGTGAAAATGACTTATACAAAGTAAACGCACTGGAGTAATAAAAAATGGTTTATTTTGCATGTAAGAACAAATTGTATTTGAGTCGTGAACACCAGCTGTCATAGATTAACATGTGAAAATATTGCATCTGGTGTTCATTCAGTGAAATATATTTTGATCTTACAATTGTACAATGCAAAACAAAACAATTACCATTATATAACTTATTATTTAATTTTACTATTAAGATCAAGGTTGTATTTGGATTGTTGTTATGGGCATTGAATGCATAAAATAGGAGGAAACGTCTAAAAAAACCCACAGTCAAAGATAATTATCTCACTTCTTATCCAAATTGTGAATCTAGTTATGTCAATGTTGAACATATCAGCACATAGACACTGTTGTGTTCATTACCAATAGTGTCCACTTTGAAAGAAATATATATGCATATTAAAATTGTTTAATAATTTCTTAAACCAGTACTAGTGGGCATGTGAGATGTTGCGGTGCTAGTGGGCTTGTGATAAAACAAACAAGTTAACAAACACACAACAAAACAATTGCTATCTTGTAAAACGACAAAAAACAAAACAACAACAACAAGCAATTATCATTGTATTGCAAGCAATCCATAAGTCCCCTACCGGTTAGAACCCCATCAACATTCTGAAGGGCCATTGGCCATTCACTAATGTTTCAATTTTTCTCTATTTTAAGTAAATTTGTTGGAAAACTTCTTTAAAAGTGATCACAGGAAACAGTTTTTATGAACAGACAGGCAGACGGACTGAAGGACACTCTAAAGTTAATATTTGAAACATCCCTGTTACCAATATATAACATTTTTAAAAGCAAAATTCTTAAAAAGGAGATAACTCTTGAATTAAAGATGCAATT